GGCTGGGACCGTCGCGTCCCTCAGGCGTAGCCGGGCGAGGGGGCACGTTTCACTCACTAGTTTCACATGACTGTGGGGGCTGTCACTTCCTTTGTGCCATTCCTCACCTGCGTGTGAACGATCTAGGGCAGTGCAAAGGAAGTGACGCTACATTGTGTGGAAAGCAGAGAGATGTGGGGTTAAAAGATGCGGGGGCTGTCACTTCCTTTGTGCCATTCCTCACCTGCGTGTGAACGATCTAGGGCAGTGCAAAGGAAGTGACGCTACATTGTGTGGAAAGCAGAGAGATGTGGGGTTAAAAGATGCGGGGAGGGGAGGTAGACAGTACTTAAACAGAGGTTTTTCAGGCTCAGTCTTTTTTGAGGTTTCCATTTCCGAAAGAACCATGTCTAGACTGCAGTTTTGCTTCCGAAATAGCGCTTTTTCGAAAGAGTGCCATTATGCAAATGAAGCATGGGAAAGTCAAATTCCGGCTTCATTTGCAATTTCGAAGTGCCTAATTTACATCCCTCTGTCAAAAGAGGGATGTAATCTAGGCACACCCTTGGACCATGGGAACTAAGGACGATCGCAAACCTTTGCCAACTGTTTCTCCAAGGAATAGGTGCACTTCTTTGACTCATCTTTTCTAGCAGACTCTTAGCAGCATGTGTATTTTAAAAAAACCCACTACTGAGAGGCACTCAGATGCTATGGTGATGGATAAGGTATAATGTTGACTATAACAGGTTAGGGAATTGAAAGACACTTGCATGTACAGTTAGTTTTTGCAACAGTTTTTCCAAAGCATAAAGTTCTCACTGCAATATCGATCATATTAGAAATGGCCATACGCTGTATTACTAGCTTTAGGATTGCCAACTGTTCTGACTGGGTGGACTGGATGCCATTGGTGTGAATGGAGTCCAGTCGGGAAAGTTGGCAACCCTAGTCCCCTTCGCCATACACATGCTATTAAAATGGCATTGCGATTAAGATTTTCCTTGCATAGAAATCCAGAGATTCAAATTTATGACCTTCATAACAACACTTGCAATTCAGCCAGTTTCCACATATGGCCTATTTTGATTGCAGAGTACATGGTTTGGCCACCAGAGAGTCCAGGTGTCACCTTTTGATCTTTGCCTTTGTCCTATGAGAGAATAATTTTCTCTTTTTTATTTAAAGACTGGCTACTCGTTGTCAAATAAAGACATTCAGCAAGCTGAAGTTGGGGGTGGGGATGGGGCAGGGTTATTTTGTTTTAATACAGTTAAGGTATTTTCAATTAAGACTGGGTAGGGAAATATCAATATTTACCAACTAATTGAGGGTAGACTTGGCAGAGGAAGTGCTTAAGCTTATGAGAGGACACTAAAATCAGTAGTTAAGTTATGTTTTAAACACTTGAAATTCTCTGACACGGTCCTTTCTAAAGACAAACCTAATATTACAGTGGGGGGGGGGGAAGAGAGATTAAAATCTAAAGCTTGTATAAATATTAACTAATGTCCACCTTAATGCCCCAGTTCTTCTATTATGTATGTATTTTGCTTTGCATGTGAGTATCTTTAGCTTCAAGGTGTACAAAGGTAAGCACACGCATAAAAGTGTTTGCAGGATCAGGATGCT